GTATAAGAGACAGCTTTACTATACGGATTTAATTAATATTTTCTAGTTGGATCTACAAAATTTCTGGTTATATTAGTACGCTCTATCGCCACAAGATGGGCATGGGACGAATTCAATTCTCGTATTTAAGAATCACTACGGAATAGTATATAAAAGATGCAGCATCATCCATCATGCTTGATTCTGCATCGAGCTTGATTCTGCAGGTATTTTTATTTTATAAACACCATATCTGACATACGAAATATATTCATATATCAGATGTATGAAATTGTAAGAAAGTAAATCTTTTCAGTTTCGATAATCATTTTGAATATGATTAATCATTATATTCAAGTTTATTGATATGTGATCGTAGAATTTTTGTACATGGCAACGATAGAATGTTCGTTCTCTTTCTCCTGCGACCGTCGGTGAGCTCACCTCGCGAGCGTTTAATTTCATCGAATTAAGATAAGTTTAATAATATAATAAGAGGAGGGGTCTTACAAATATGAAAGTGTATTTGATACTACTGCGTTCTAATTAAGCTTTTTATAACTCCAATTGTTACAAATTGTACATTATATATTTACAATAAATATAATATTTGAACAAATTTGTCAGTCAGTCCTCGGCCTATGAGTTAGTCAGATTTTTTATCTCGAAAATATTCAAAATGTTTTTAGCGGAACGTGATGATTGCGATCGACCCAAGTACATATTAATTATGACGAAAGTTGATCGATGTCTGTCCAAGGAACGACCCAGAGTAAAGACTGGATAATGAAGATAAAATCGTGTAATTTCTGAAACGGATAACAATTCTTTATATATTAAACGAAACGTATTATATATGATTTGCCTTGCAAAAGTATATAATGCTTGTAAATATATAAAGTTAATCGAAGTCTGATCAACAAACGACCCAGAATAAAGACTGGATAATGAAGACAAAATCGTGTAATTTCTAAAGCGGATAACAATTCTTTATATTAAACGAAACGTATTATACATGATTTGCCTTGCAAAAGTATATAATGCTTGTAAATATATAAGAGTACAGGGCAATTGATCCTCGTATGATCTGTAAAAGAACAGTACAAAATGTAAAATAATATGTACAATTTAGATTACAATAATGTATGGGTGATATTTAAAAAAAAATTAATGGGAGACAGAGAGAAAAGAGATTATGATCAAAGATAAGTTCCTTACACATTGCTTTCTTTTCTGGAAATTCCGCACTTTCATGCATCAGGACAATTGGTGCTCGTATGACCTGTAAAAGAATAGTACAAAATGTAAAATAAGTGTACAATTTGATTACAATAATTGAGAACAATAAAAATGGTGATATTTAAAAAAAATTAATGGGAAACAGAGAGAAAAGAGAATATGACCAAAGACAAGTTTTTTACATATTACCTTCTCTTTTGCAACCTTCGCCCATTTTTACAACAGGACAATTGGTCCTCGTATGACCTGTAAAAGAAGAGTACAAAATGTAAAATAATTGTATAATTTAGATTACAATAATAGAGAACAATAAAAATGGTGATATTTTAAAAAAAAATTAATGGGAGACAGAAAGAAAAGAGATTATAACCAAAGATAAGTAATTCTTTACACATTACCTTCTTCTTTGCAATTTCCGCACCTTCTGTTGGTTGTAGGCCTTTCGGGGGCTATGGAATTAGAAATGCTCTGATTCGTGTTCCCGCGATTATCATTCTGAATCCTAAAGACATATATTATTTTTACATACATTAGATATTAGTGAAGTTATTAATTGGGAATATTAATTAAGACTTAAACTCATTAATTACTAACATCAATACGTGTTAATCGAAAAAATTTTCTTTTTCATCTGGTTGGAGATTTTACTCACATCGTGTTATTCTGATTAGAGTTGTTCATAATGTTAGTTGTGAATAGGTTTCTCGAATTGTTATTAGAAATGCTAGCGCCAGCGTTGTTTTTGCCTATGTTAGATACTGAACTTGAATATTTGCGTGTAATTTCTTATATTAATTTTATATATACTTTCGCCTCTCTCACCCTATTTCCTCACTCTTTCTCGTCTCTTCTGCTTTTTTTTTTCTTTTACCTAGATTCACTTCTTTTTACTCACTCCAACAACTTATTCCGCTAAAAATCGCAATGCTCGTCAACCACTAACGTAAGTGTTTATATATAAAGGATCGTGCTTTTATCAGCTGGGCTGCGACCGGGGATGTATTATCAGTGTTATCATTCTGTCCTTGAGTGTTTATAGAGATATAAAATAGTGACAGAAAAATGAAGATAAAACGATACAATGAACAAAATACCAATAATAAATGTAAAGAAATATATCTGTGGAAATACCTACTGTGTTAGTTTCGAAAAATAAAAGTGAAGCCAAATGACTCAAGAGAGAAGCGAGTTATTTGTACTGTCACATCAAGTCACATCGTCATAACCAAACAGTGGATGCTTTTCATTAAGAGTTACATACCAAAGTTATCCTGTTTTTGTCTTTCTTAATATCTATGAAAAACAGAATGGCTTCTGTGTCAATATGTGCACATGTTTCTTGCTGGAAAACTTTCTATAGCATTTAAGTATTATCGAAATAAATGTATTATTTTTTAGCAGAACGCTAATAGAAGAATATGATAATTGTCGACAATAATGTTAATTGTATTATATAGCTAATTATATATATAATATATATATGTATATATTAACACGAACAATCAATTCACTTGGCAGAAGAATTGGAGACTGAAAAATTTTCTCATAACAAATTATCATACAATATAGTTTAATGTATTAAACACTGTAAGTTGCGTCACTTATGTCCATTTCTACCAGTGTAAATTAACTTTAATTCAGGTTTAACTTGTATTTGTATTTTTAACTTTGTATTTTTTTTCTAGTGTTAAAAATAAGAAAAAGATAAAAAGTAAATAAGATCGAGATTGAAGTTAATCTACATTGGTAGAAATGGACATTATTAGAATACAATAATTATAAAACAGAATTAATTGATTATCGAATCGTTTCCTTCAAATGGAAAACTTTAACACTTGTGAAAATTACCGCTTTAATTGAAAATATTGAGAATGAAATAAGGATACAAAAATGTGACCGTGATAAGAATAGAAAAGGAGTTCAGAGATAAAGAAAATGTTTAGAATGTTTAGGAGGAAAAGGTTGTGTAAGATAAATAGAATTATGCAGGATGGAGAAAGAGAATTGATATACAGGGTGTCCCGTAATGACCGGACTAACGCTTAAGGGTAGATTTCTGAGATCATTTTAAGACAAAATGAATCTACCCTTAAGCGTTAGTCATTACGGGACACCCTGTATATTAGATAAAAGAAAAATTTTAGAAAAATTAGATATAAGGATAATGCTGCCATCAGGGAATGTGTTATCATTCTGTTTGTGCGTGTTTAGAAATAAAAAATAGCATGATATATGTAATAACAGCATGATGGAAAATAGTGATAGAAAAATAAAGATAAAACGATACAATGATCAAAATACCAATAATAAATGTAAAGAAATATACCTGTAGAAATAACTACTGCGTTAGTTTCAAAAAATAAAAGTGAAGCCAAATGACTCAAGAGAGGAGATATTTATTTGTACTGTCACATCAAGTCACATCATCATGACCAGTGGATGCTTTTCAGCAGGTTACATACCAAAGTTATCCTGTTTTTATCTTTCTTAATATCTATAAAAGAACGGCTTCTGTGTCGATATATGTGCACGTGTTTTTTGCTGGAAAGCTTCCTATAGCATTTAAGTATTACCGAAATAAATATACCATTTTATAGAAGAACGCTGATAGAAGCATATGATAATTGTTGCCAATGATATGTTAATTTTTTATAGTTAACAACCAGTTTACTTGCAGAAAAATTAGAGACTTGAAAAATTTTCTCATAACAAACGAGTTATCGTTTAATATATATTGAACACTGTAACTTGCGTCACTTGTTAGAATACAATAATTATAAAACATTAGCATTAATTAATTATCGAATCGCTTTCTTCAAACGGAAATCTCTAACACTTGTAGAAATTATCTCTTCAATAAAGCAGGGACGGGTCTTACAAATATGAAAGTGTATTTAATACTACTGCGTTCTAATTAAGCTTTTTACAACTGTAATCATTACAAACTGTACATTATTTACAATACTATATTGGAAAAAATTCATTCGTCAGTCCATCGTCCTGTCTGGACATCGAGTCCTCGTATGACCTGTGAAAAAACAGTACAAAATGAAAAAAAAATATATATATACCTATATATATACATTTATATGTAATTTGAATATAATATTGGATACGATTGAGAACAATAAAATTGTTACTATTAAAAAAAAGACAGAAGGAAAAGAGATCATAATAAAAAAGTCATTTACCTTCCATTCCGCAATTTCCGCACTTTCTTTTGCCTCCCGTAAGCCTGGGCCTTTTGGGAGCATTGCCTTTCTGAGGGGCGCGCGGTCTGCGTGCGTTATTCCCTGTTCTTCTCGTAGTGGAATTACCCCAGTCTGTGTTCTCATAATTAGCGGCGTCATCCTCGTCTGCCCATTTGAAAAAATTACAAGTAGAGTTCATACCCTTGGGACATCCGTAAAATTGTCGTCCTTTATTGGGGCCATCTTTGTTAACCGTCAATCTAAAGATACGCGCGCAAATATTTTTACATATATTAAAGACATAGTGAAACTTTTAATTGGCGATATTAAACAAGACATCAATTGATTAATTATTGACATCAATATATCCAACCGAAACAATTTATCGTTTCTTCCAAAGATTTTACTCACTTTCGAGCGGGCTGATTACAGCTGCATATAACATCGTTCGTCGATGGGTTTCCCCAATCGTCATTAGAAGTGCCAACGCGAGGGTGACCAGCACCATCGTTGTTTCTATCCAGGCTGGATGTCCAACTTGAATATTCGTTCTCTGCGTTATTATCGTGAGACTCGGCGCTGTCAGATGCCCACAAGAAAAAGTTGCAACCGCTTCCCTGCGGTTTAGCGCATTTGTAAAACAGACGTCCTGGAATTACAAATGTTATCGAAAACGACTCACGCGACAAATCGCATTTTATATGGCAGTTGGCCACTCACCTTTATTTGGCCCCTCTTTTCTAACTGTTAATTGGATCGCAGTCTCATGACAATGACACATAATTTCAGAATTATTGTCAATGTTGCCCCACGTATTACTTGTACTATTCGCGTTGCGAGAATCTCTGACCGCAGATTGATTCGATCTGTTCGTTGAATTATTGAAATCACGTGAATTAATCCAGGAGGTATGATTTTCTCTATTACTCGGTATTGTACTTCTATTGCCAGCATTCGGCCTGTTCGATCTGTTCGGTTGAGAAACGTTAGAATTCTGATTTTGTCTTCCAGATGTGTTAGAAGTTCCGATCAAGCCCACATCGTTGTTCCTTCGAGCAGACCCTGCACCACTAGAAACTGGCTGGGTACTTCGCGATTGGGATGTACTTGAGGTGGAAGTGGAGCTCGACATGTCCCTCGTATTACTGTGACCGGTGTAATTCGCTCTTCCAGTTCGTTTAATGCAATCTTCCTTAATGTTCAACATTTCGTTGAACGTATTATCACAGCCTATGCAAGTTGTGTAAGAGGTGCCGTACAAGGGTATCACATTCCTGACCAATTTGAATTTTAACTTGCGCATATTTTCTGTACACTGAAAATATTAATCGTGTGAACAAATTTTATAATTTACGAGAACTATTTAATAATAATTTATGATTCACGCACGTATCTATGTGCAAAACGTACTGCGAGCATAGGTGTTATATTTACCTGATTGCATGTCTCGTTCAAAACTTCCACGTCTTCTATAGCCTCCGAGAGCCAGACCACGTTGGTACATTCCGGATATCCCATGCAACTGATGTATTTTCCTCTGCCCTGCCGTCTCTCCTTTAGCACCATATTAGAGCCGCATTTTGGACACTTGAATATGGCAATCTCTGGAGCGAGCTGCACTTGCTCGGTTTGGAGAGGCCTCTCGCCGAGATAGTGCGCTAAAGAGTCGTCTATCAGATTGGCGCGTTCGATCGCCACTCTAAACACCTCGCGATACGTATTAATTTGACTTTGTAATACTTCATTCGGGTCTTTCTGACGCCGGCATATCCTGCGATAACAAAATGACAGAAACAGATTTATACAAACTCTAATAGATTAAGACTGTCTAAAGCCTTGTGTCCGCGATACTAAAAATCGGTCCAAGTTCTCGAACCGAAAACTGTATAGCTAATAAAATTACTGCGTTTCCATAAAAGCTGCAAGTTGATTGGCTAACATAGTTCTTGTTCCGAGAACTTGAATCGATTTCTCTAGTATCGTGGACACAAGTCTTAATACGATACTTTTAGTTACTAATTGGCTTACAGTTGTAAATCTTTCTCTAAATCCGCACGCAAGTGCGGCTTGGACATTTGGAAGCCCATATTGTCGTAACCCATCACCAGACCGATGCCCAATTTGCCCGGCATGAAATGTTGGGTTTCCGTTAAGCCCACGTATTGCCGGGATTTGATGGTGTCGATGTGCTCGGCATGAGTGGCGTCCGTACCGATGCCGTGCTTGTCCATCAGTGCGATCAATTCGGCCTCGGTTAATAAAGTCGGCGGCGAGGTTTTCTCTTCCACCATATCGATACTGGTCGGTCGGAAGACTTGCCTCTGCTCGTACGAGTGAATCTGCTTGCTGTTCCACTTCTCGTACACGTACACCTCGAGATAATTCTTCGCTATGACCTCGAGACCGTTAGCTATAAATCTCTCGCCCGCTATGTTGATCTCGACCGTCGTCTCCCGGCCCTCCGCGTTCTTCGACAGACAAGCCAGAAAGTGACGTACCACAAATTCGTAGACCTTCGCCTCGTTTCCTGTCGACGGATCGGCAATCGATTAACGCGGGTCGATCTAACGACAAGCAGGAGCAGCCTCCGTGGGAGTCGAGGGCCGAGGAACGTACCTTGCAAACTGTTGCTATACTTCGTGGGATGAATAGGAGGATGCGCCTGATCGCTCTTCTTCCCCTGCCTGGGAGTTACTCCGGATTCCAGTAAATTTTGCGCGAAGCCACCCCAGCCCCGATCGGTCACCTGTTGCTCCACCAAAGACGTCAGATTCAACTCCTTCGGGAATATATTCGTTTCCGTGCGCGGGTAACTGATGAGACCCTGCGTGTACAATCTCTCCGCTATCCTCATCGTCTCCTTCGCGTTTATGCGCAACTTGCGAGAGCCCTGCTTCTCCAATTCCTGTGGATTCGAATGATTCTTGAAATACGGCAGAATCTCCAAATGCCTCGCGATGCCTTGAATTCGGTTACTTACAACGGTGTCCAGGGGTAAAGGCCTCCATTTGCTTTTCGGTTTGCACGTCACCTTCTCCACCGTAGCTTCCGGCCGTTCCAAGCATATGTCCAGAAAGATCTGGCAGGGCATCTTCTCGAACAGTCTCACCCTGGCCCATCTGAATTCCACAGATATCCCCTCGCGATCGTCGATCACCCGTAGCTTCCAGTACGGCTCGGACTTGAACCGATCGATGGCCAGAAATCTCTCGACCACAAATCCAAGCGTTGGAAACTGGCAGCTTCCGTAGCTGATGAGCAGGTCCCCGAGAGTGTTGGGGAATGTCTTCTGCAACCTCAAGGTCTGAAATCTCGTGAACGCGGCACCTGTCGACGTGTTTGCCGTTAATTAAAAAAGTTTATACACACAGCTCGATTTCGATGTGATCTTTAATCAGAGTCAGTACCAATTCGCAAATCCAATTCGCTTCTCACGTCTACGGCGTCGCTCATTGCCTTATCTGGCTCCTCCAGAGTTTGCAGAGCCCTTTCAATAGACGGTCTCGTAATTTCTGAGAATTTTGCCCTGAAACATTCAGAAAACATATCAAAAAAACATCACAGAAGAAACATTGCATTTCAGAAACCATTACAAATCTCGTCAAAAACTTCAAAAAACTACAAATCGTGTGCAAAAAAAGGGAGGATGGGAACGCGTTCAATCGCGTCATCAATTACCTATATACACGGAGATTAGGCTTCACCATCTGGCAAACCTGAACAATCTCAAAGCCTATGTTCTCCCCCTCTCTGTCACAATCCGTCCAGATGATCAACGCGCTGCAGGATCGTATCTCTCGCTCCAGGGTTCTCTTAATCTTTACGTGGTTCTCGTCCAAGCACTGCTTGGACACCGGGGCATCGAACAAGCTCAACGGATTACAGCCGTGCCACTTGCGGTAGGCGCCCGTAAACTCGTAGCCCAACAAGTGACCGGATACAGATGTCATCACCATTTGGCAGTGTTGACCCCACAGCTGCACGTCAAATTCGAAGATCTTGTTGTATACGGATAAACCTTCCCTCTGCAAGAGACAGAAATCGTAGTAAAAAAGATAGAAACTTGATTATCTAACCTCTAAGGGGAAAAAGACAATAAGTAAGTAGGAACGCAATGCAGTGCGCTATATAATCTTACAAAAAGGTGATGACACTATTAATCGACTGGCCAGTGGAGTAGAACAAAAAAAACAGAAACGTTGAGAGATACATTTCTACACAGGCTCCCTTGATTCGCAAATAAATATGATCGAATAACGAGAAGCTCGTGGACAATGATAAAAAAAATTACTACTGAGAGAACGCTGTACACAGCGTTTAAATGTTTACCCTTCTGCTGGTACCGCGTGACAAGTAACCGGCGATATTTTTAGCCGCGTCCGGCTTCTCGGCGACATTGAAAATCTTCATGACGCTCTTCGAGCAGTATCCCCTTGGCAGGCGAAAGGCATTCGCGGGATTTTTGCTGGCTGCTTTCAGACCGCGATATATCGTACAATTCAATGTGATGTTAAACAATTTGGTGAGGGCCATAACACGACCGGTGGCATTGTTGACGATTTCCCGCCACGAAGGTTAGGTTTTTTTGTGAGATGTGCAACAATGAACGATATATGACGTGTTAATACGCGATTTGTCTAATCGAATTGCGTTTCTGAAGTGAGTGCGTCAGGGAGTAAACGTCCACTTCCATATTTCATCGCATTGTCTTTAAAGCGCGCCGTCAACGGCGAAACCGAATCTCGCTCCAAACGTTGTTTACACACCGAGTGCTGTGCACGTGTGATGGTCGACGTTCCCTCTCGCAGTTGTTATTGCACTTTCTGCACTTAAGAGAAAGTGGATGGAATTGAAAGGCAAAAGAAACAAAAAATTCATTTACAAAGATAGATTTTTTTGCGTGACTTAAAATTCCCCAAAAATTTTTTTATACTTAACGAGATAAATATATATGTATATTAATTGAGATAATTGATAAGTATATATTTTGGGCGTTGGAGAGAGAAAGAGCGAAGTTTATCTGAGTGCAAAAAGTGCAATCTAATGCTTGCATCAGACTAAAGATTGATTTGAGATTAGAATTTAATCAATTGGAATAACGAAAACTAATCTCAATAAGTTTAGTGATCTTTGCTTTGATTTATTAAATTTCAATCCAATCTCAATCTTTAATCTGATACGGGCATGAAAGCAGCATGCCTTTTTTTGCACATTTCAGCATGTTATATGCTTCTTTATTAAAAAAAAAAGACAAGAACGCAAATCTATAAAAATACATACGGCTGATGTGCGGTAAAAAAAATGCGTATGCCAAAAATGTTTAACAAAATTTCGTTTTGACGATTTTTCCATCCAAGTCGATTCAAGTCCATTCAAGTATGCGGCCATTTCGTATACGTCATTTTGAGCATGCGCACCAAAACCCCAGTGATTTTGCGCCTCGTAGGTTTCGGCAGTGCGAAAATACTGAAAGTCACTAGACTGCAGAAAGTGCAGAAACGCAGAAGAGAGCTGGAGGTGGTCGGTGTGGCGGAGAGACGTCTCCCGATATTTTGCACGATAACTCTCTCGGCCCGATGTGGATCTTTCTCCGGGCGCACGCACGTGGGTATCGAGTGCCGAGTGTCGCGTTAACGTTACGTCACGTTACGTCATCGTCGCGTCGAACGGCGGGTGCTCGCCGCTCGGGAATCGGAACGCGTATACGTACGTATAACATACGCATGTCGGGTCCCCTTGGTTTTGATCCCCACAACGGGGATCGTGTTCTCTCCTCTCCGGCCGACGATCCGCCACGCGCGGAACGTTCCGGATATCGCGAGCCACGCTGACGGCCGCTGCCGCGGCACGCGCGTTTCTCCTCCCCTCCCGGAAGGAAAGGTCACGGAAACCCTGACGTGTCGTGTCACATTGGCGCGATGTGTTGTGTCACGTCGTGTGTCGTCGATCGTTCCCTGCCTCGCGTTAAATTTGCGATTTAATTAAGCGCCCGATCGTCCGATCCTCGGGCGGATCAGCTGCGGCCACCTAAAGTCGCACGAGTACGCTGATCTCGCGTTCCGCGGCTCGCATCGGCACTCTCGCGTTTTGTTGTTTTTCCCCTTTTCACGGGCACACACGAACATGATCGTCCGCGCGTATATTTATTCAGTAATTTGCAAATCGTTTTTTTTCTCGCAAACGAGAGCAGAGCAGTTGCTTCGTCAATATTTGTTCTTACGTAATTATTCGATCCGACATGAATCCGAGAATTTTTATTACATGGTGGAATTTATGCAGATCTTGCGAAAATATACATAGTCTGTGTTTATAAGCGTGACTTGAAGAACTAAAGATAGACTGCTGCGAAGTATCGTGTCTAATTAAATTTGATATAGGACTGCAAAGTGTTAATAGAACCTCTGAGATCTTAAATTTTTGTTGAAGCATGCCTGTACTCTCAAAGTCTCAACAACTGAACAATCTGTTGATAACATAGACTGCCACAAAATATCACCTGTTCTTTTCAACTGAATTGCCGTTTATCCATTATCTTTTTATCTCTAAAGCTCATAGCACTTAGAAAAATGTAAAGCAGTAAGACGTAAGAAGTGAGTTGGCCAATCACAGTAGAAAACGTAAGATTATTGCCTTACGTTTTCTATTGTGATTGACTGATTTGCTTACTGCTGATATCTTACTGCTTTACGTTTTTCTATGTGTCGTGGGCTTAACGTGCCGAAAAAAAGATGAAGGATGAATCATGCAAGAAGTTTGATTGAAAAGAAAGGCTTTATATCCATTTCATTTTGTAGATTAACTTTAATCTTGGTTTTAACTTGTTTCTTGATTCTTAGAATTAGAGAAGGATAAAAAGTAAGTTAAAGTTAATCAACAGATTAATCTACATTGATAGAAATGAACATTAATGTTATAACTATATATCTTTCAAATTTTTATCTTATATGTATGTCTTTAAAAATTTTATAATTATTAACCGTGCAGCGCAAACTCATGGATATTTCATGTGTTTTCAGCGACAGTAGGTCACTTCTGACTTCCCTCGCTCGTGATACCGTGACTTTTTTAAAATACCAAACATGACGGAGGACATGTTGGGTGCGGACATCTGCAGGGTCTGCCGATCCGAGGGCCTCGCCGACAGACCCTTGTTTCATCCCTGCATATGCACAGGCAGCATCAAATGGATACATCAGGAGTGCCTGGTCCAGTGGATGCGCTACTCGCGCAAGGAGTACTGCGAGCTATGCGGCTACCGCTTCTCATTTACACCTATATACAGTCCGGACATGCCGCGGCGTCTGCCGCTGCGAGACGTCGTAGGCGGTTTATTCTCGAGCATCGTCACTGCGGTGAAATACTGGTTACACTACACCCTGGTGGCGATTGCGTGGCTGGGAGTCGTCCCTTTGACTGCGTGCCGCACATACAGAGCTCTCTTCAGCGGGCCGCTCGATGTAGTTCGAGTAAGATTAATAAATTCGATCCTCGATGATTAACGCAGGAAAAAAATATGAAACTCAACATATTTACCGCTGATTTTGTGTATTTGCAGATAATGTCGCTACCGATGGATATGCTTTCCACCGAGCATATATCGTCGGACGTGTTTCACGGCTGCTTCGTAGTTACTTGCACCCTGTTCGCGTTTATCGGCCTGGTGTGGCTGCGCGAGCAGATTTTACACGCGGGCGGGCCCGACTGGCTCGAGCGGGATATACAACTGCCCCCGGTCGACAATCCGCCACAAGCAAACGCACAACGACCACAACAACCTCAGGAGCAGCGCGCTATGCCGCAAGAGGTCCAGGACAACAACAATGTCCCTCCCTTCATTGACCCGCCTATTCCGCAAGAAGGAGAGTTACATAATGAAGGTAAAGTCTAATGAGACAAGTTAGACGTTTAGACCTTTGAAAGCAATTAAGTTGCAACGACGCGACAGACTTTTATTTCTGTAATTATTTCTGTAAATTAAACGATTTCGTTTATTTAATAATCGCAGATCAACGTCCTATATACCGAGAAGAAAACCTGGCCAATAATCCACGAATCGGCGAGCCCGAAGATCTAGTGAGAGACGTACAGCCACCAGCCCCTCCCGCGCCGCCCCTGCCGATCAGGGATGAACTCGGCGTAGACGGTGGACAGGCGAATGCCGCGGGTGGCGAGCGTTGGGCGAGAGGACACGCGGTGCTGGCACATGTGGTGGGGCAGGTGCAGGGTGAAGCCGAGGATGCCAATTGGAATCCTTTAGAGTGGGACAGACCAGCTGAAGAATTAACCTGGGAACGTCTCTTAGGATTGGACGGGTCTCTTGTCTTTCTTGAACATGTCTTCTGGGTCGTGTCCCTAAACACCTTATTTATCATGGTGAGTTTTGTCACGCGCGATTAAACGAATTGACTAATAAATGCAATTGTGTAATGTAATAAAAATGTAATGTGTAATTTTTTAAATGATATTTTGTTAAACTAATTTTTTTAAATCTCTTCAGGTATTTGCTTTCTGCCCGTATCACATCGGCCATCTCACGATAGCGGGATTAGGCCTGCAGGAACACGCGGCCGCGTCGCACTTCGAGGGTCTGGTGACCACGCTGTGCGGCTACTGCGTTATCGGAGTTTGTCTCGTAGTCCTCCACACTCTCGCCGCGCTGTTAGGCTTTCAGCGCTCCCAGCGAATCTTAGGACTGTGCTACGTTATCGTCAAGGTCTCCTTGCTCTCCGTCGTGGAGATCGGCGTACTTCCATTGGTTTGCGGCTGGTGGCTGGACATCTGCTCGTTGGCGATGTTCGACGCCACGCTCAGAGACAGAGAATCCTCGTTCAGACTCGCTCCCGGCACATGCATGTTCATCCACTGGCTGGTGGGGATGATTTATATATACTATTTCGCGTCGTTTATTCTACTCCTACGTGAGGTCCTGCGGCCCGGGGTTCTCTGGTTCCTACGAAATCTGAACGATCCCGACTTCTCCCCTATACAAGAGATGATACATCTTCCCATACTGCGACACGTACGGCGACTAGTCGCGTCCGCGATCATATTCGGCACGGCGATTTTACTGATGTTGTGGCTGCCCGTAAAGATTCTGAGATGGGCCTGGCCAGGATTTTTACCCTACACCGTGAACGTACAAAGCGAGGCTCAGGTAAGACAAGTAACATTTTATTTTTTCCCTTCATCTCTCCTATTGCGACGATTAAATGTTATCTGAAAACGTGCGTGTCTAAATTCTAGGTCAGCGAGCTTTCGCTGGAATTGCTGCTGCTGCAAGTGATCCTTCCCGCGTTACTGGAGCAGTCGCACACGCGCACGTGGCTGAAAGCCCTCGTGAGAGCGTGGTGCTGCGTCGTAGCGTGGATGCTGGATCTGCAGTCGTATCTTCTGCGAGACCAGGCGGACGATCCGGGGCCGGCGATAATCGAGGAACCGCAACATCCGGACTTGGGTGCCGCGCACCAAGCGCTGCTGCAGAGGGAGGGGCCCACGGGATTTCAGCCTTACGTCAGGCCGCGGTGGTTCGCCGCGAGATTGGTCGGGCTTCTGCTCTGCGTATGCATATCCCTCGTGGTCGCGAGTCTAGTCGCTATGACGTTGCCCGTGTGGCTGGGACGCAGAGTGATGGCGTTATGGATGGTAGGGGCACCCGCACCGTCGCCGCCTGTGTTAGCGCCTACGTTAACCGGATCCGGTGAGTCTTTCGCAAGTCATTCCTATTTTCCGAAATTATTCTTATCTTTGTATAAAGTATATCTTTGTATAAAGATTATAAAAAATTATTTTCATAAAATCGTGCACACGTTTTGAAAAAAGAAAGTATTATGGATTTTGCAAAACACTCATTTCCAATGATTTTTATCAGCTACGTTTTTTCTTCTGTTTTTCTTTCAGACGGTGGCGAGACCGTTGGCCCTCTATCCGGAAGAGTACACGAGGTGTACACGATAGCCTGCGGGACGTATGTGTGCTGGGCCGCGGCCCGAGGCTTGGCACTGGCGTTCTCCTGGCTGCCTCGCGGTCGAAGAGCCATCGTAGACCGGATCAAGCACTGGGCGATCCTGGCCGTGAAAGCCTCGGTGGCGTTTGTCCTGCTCGTCGGGGTCATACCGCTCCTGTTCGGTCTTCTTCTCGAGTTAGTGGTAGTGGTCCCGTTGCGCGTCCCGCTAGAGCAAAATCCCATCTTATTCATTTGGCAAGATTGGGCCTTGGGCGTGCTGTACACGAAGATAGCCACCGCCGTGACGATGATGGGCCCGGACTGGCGAATACGTCTCGCCATTGAGCGAACGTACAACGAAGGGATAAGGGAGATGGATTTGAAGTTCGTCATCAAGGAGTTAGCGGCTCCCGTTATATGCTGCTTCGGCCTCGCCCTCGCGGTACCTTACGCCGTGGCCTACGGAATAGTACCACTTCTCGTGACCAATCTGCAGACCCAGATTCTCATCGCGCGACGTCTATACCCTTTTCTTCTCTTAGTAAATCTGGTCTGCGCGGTGATTTACTTTCAGATACGCCAGTTCAGGAAGCTGTACGAGCACATTAAGAACGACAAGTATCTCGTGGGCCAGAGGCTCGTAAATTACGAGCATCGCAACAAATCGCAGACACAGCAGCATCAATCGCAGAGATCGAGCTAATGGTGTCAGGCATAATATTGTTACGGGCGGAAAAAACGGATTAGGATTAGCTTCGTGTACATTCTTTAAGAAATACTTACCGATCGATAATTTATATATATATAATATATATATATATATATGATTATATATTATATATAAATACATTATAATATAATATAGCCATGGTTTTATTTTTAATATTATAATTTATTGATGTAAAGCGATACCGAGAATAAAAATCAAAGACTGTTATCTAGTGTATCGCTTCTCACTCCGATGCTTCGTATAATTCTAACATTAATTATCTCGCTCTACAAACAATATGAACGAGATTTCGATCGCGATTATTTGCAGCAACGAAGGATGACTACGGTTATAAAACTGGTAAATATGTTTGAGAGATACTATTTTATTCTTTGCTAGATAACTCGGAAAATCTGACGTAGTCCAACTTGTGTCTATTCTATACTTTCTTAACGTAGCTGTACTCTTGATGTAACAATCGCTAACATGACGTTACATAAGAATGATAATACACGGCTATAAAATAGCATGAAATGCGTCAGATAACAGCGGTAATAAACTAATGTTATGTCGTTAGGAAGTCATAGAATAGACATGCAGAAGTGTACGAGACGTAAATGTTACAGATATAAATGTATAGCATAAAATCTCCCGATAATTCTTTTAGCGAGAGGAAGGGATTAAAAAAGAAAAGAACTATGAAAGTACATTGTGGTCATTGTTATCTAATATAATATAGAATATAATTTCGCGATCTCTATGTAACATAATTTATATAAACCTGCATACATTTGACTGGCGATTGTAATCGACTACTTTTGCTGTAGCCTCAAATGTTTATGCAAATTAATTAAAGTTTCATATACGGGTCATTACTTAATCATTTATTTTTTTGTTTCTATTCACGAGGCTCGATTATTTCAAATATTTATGCATAAACCACATGTAAATACCCAACGATACGGTATATACATGTATAATATAAAACATATTTACAATAAACTAATATTTTATAACAAAATGCTATATCGTCTGCATGTATATACAAATCTTATTAATATTTACGAAATCGCTAATATAAAAAAAAGTTGCATGTATATATATATATATTTTACAAATCATTCTCATGACGTATTCTTTGCAATCACATATTCTCATTATTTGCTAAGAATATATACATTAGTAGTCATTCAGTATACTTCCGATGCTTTGTAAAAAAAAAAGCATATGTCATATGTAAAAGTAGTATAAAAATACTTATTACTTTGGAGGATCACATTGTGAAACTTCAAATGATGTCTCGTTTCTAAATTTGTAATTAAAAATTAAGAGATGTACAGATTTAGTCTTCTAAATTTTGTCACTGCGTCCTAGTTTTTCAATAATATATGAATATATATACACATATATGTATATATATATGGTACATGTAATGCATTTAATATTATTACATTAAATATAATATTAATAAATTATATCGTGTATACATATATAATTATTATTAATAATAATAATAATGATGATATAATTATACATAATCATTAAAATTAATACTAATAATAATGATTATGCATAATTTTAAGTAACAATGTCATAATAATAATAAACAAATTATAAAAATATATAATAATAAATATCCATTACAGGATATTATTTTTCAACAGTTAAAACGATTTAAAATTAATTTTGTTGCATTCTCAGTGCAGCGACGATCGTTACACTGTGCCTTTTCTGTACTCTCATTAATTATAATCTGTAATCCTCCAAAATTTATACAAATAACGTTTTCTCCATGTACATAATATAATATGTACATGAATATTCATAAATTGTTAAAAAAAAATTCTCATCTGATTGAAAATGTTCTAAATCTCTGTCGACTGTTGTGGTGGCGGTATAAGAGTTGCTTTTAAGCGCAATTCTTCACTAATTTTCATTACGTGTACATTCACCAAACTAAACAAATTGATTACCTAAAATAGATATTTACGAGATATTAATAAACATGCTGATAATATATCCTGTGTCAAGTACGCTATACAGAATATCACAGTACTTACCTGTACAATAGGAGGTTTCACCCAATTGATAGTCAAAGTTGGTACATGATCCTCGGAAAACTTGGATGTGGCAATGTTTTCTATGTCCTTGAAATTTACTTTTATTCTTATGCCGATATCACAGAGAATAGCATCTATACAGTCTCCCTTCACGTACACCACAGTGGCTACCGCTTCAAAGCCGCCCGCGAGGCCTACCATGTACGCAAAGAACACCTCCGTGCTCTGTTCCTGAGCTAGTTTCGCACTATACTTCTTCGTATTGCAATTGGCTGCAATCCTGTCGTGAATTGGAAATAAAAAGTTATTTGTTTCAAGTCAAATTTCATGTCATTCTGCTTTCATACTGTATCACTGACGTACTTGGAGCACAGCTTGACCGTCCATTTTTCCGGTAAAGGTTTATTTTCGAGCGTCGCACCGAGCAAACGGTGAACTATGCAATCGGAATACCTTCGAATGGGGGACGTAAAGTGCGTGTAAAGAGGTACGTTTAACGCATAGTGCTTTAAATTGTACCGCGAAGTGGTAGACGCGCATATATATTCTGCACGCTGAAAAAAAAAAAGAAATTTTCAGTATTATAATACAGAATCATCAGATTACAAATTTATTTATATCGTTTACATTATATTATATAACATAAAAAAATAAAAATTCTTACTATCATAGTCTTTGAACACAAATTTACGATAACCATCATAATATGTTTCATAGAATTGATCGTGGCAGAATTGTTTTCGTAGCGACTGATGCTGGCCTGTAAGGCCCCAGCTGTTTCAACATTCAAATGAATTCCATAATTTTGCAGCGTATTTTGAACCGTATCGAGACACTTCTTGGACGGATCTTTATGAATACGCAATAAAGCCGTTTTGGGAAATGCACTGTGCAATTGTGCGGCGACTGTTATATTTGCCAGCAGCATAAATTCTTCTATAAGACTGAAACACATACATTCGTAATGAGTAATCGATGATTAAAAACGGAGTTAGGATTTCCTCGTAGTCTAAGTAATGTAACAATGTAAGCCAGTAGGATGTATATAAGTAGCTGAAAAATCCACCTGTTGCTGTCAATCCTTTCGTATACACAGTAGTTTACGGGTATCGGGATCCCGCATTCTCGACTGAGCTTGGGATCGATGTGTATCTGTAACTTTGGCTTGTCCAACCTGAGCGCGCCGTTAACAAATCGTTTGTCTCGCAACTGGGTGGACAACTTGAATAACTTGTTCACTTTGTCGGACAACAACGACGCCGTATAGTCTCCTTTTATGTCGAGGAAATCCTCGGGCCAAGACTTGTTCGGATCGTCGATCATGGCCTGAGCCGAGTCGTAGGACATTTGACAACACGACCTTACCACAGTCCTCGCGAAACGATGTTTCACAATTTCGGCGTCTGGCGTTATTTCCCAGATCACGGAAAAGGCCAGTTTATCTTTACCGGGCAGCAAGGAACAAACTTTACACAGTTTCTCCGGTAGCATATGCGAAGTCATGTGCGGCAAGTAAACGGTGGTAGCTCGTTTCAGAACTTCCATATCGAGCGGAGAGAAAAATTCCAAGTAGTGAGTGACGTCTGATATATGCACACCGATCTGAGAAATTAAAAAAATTAAAGAGAAATTGAACGAAAATGATTTATTAAATGCACTGCTCCGGCTAGATCCAATGCATCGCAATGCTTACTTCGTAGTTCCCGTTGCCCAAGACTTTGCATGATAAGGCGTCGTCTATATCAACAGCTGTTACAGGATCTATCGTGAAGATGCACTCGTGCCTCCACTCTTCTCTACCTTCTATATCGGCGTCCGTTAAAATGTAATCGCTGTCTGGGAGGCCTTCCAATAGCGATTCTTGATACGGAGATACGTCTAAATTATTTTCCAGTATTATTGCGTTTAATTCCGTATCTATTTCGCCACATTTACCCACTACCGAAATAATCCGCCTGTAAGTATAGCAAATACAAAAATATATACATCACATAAGGACAACCGGCAGTAACAAGAAGGCAGAAATGTCCGAGGTAAACGTATAATTTTTAAAATTAATCCTTAAAAATTGTAACATATCATATTTGTGTACTATAGAGACGCACAATGCGGACCTACCCGAATGCATACGGTCGCTCCCACAAGTCGATATTAACAAAAAACATTGTATTCTTGCAAAGTTCCGGCTGTTCGAAATATAAAGCTGGCACTGACTCAAGAAGTATCTCAACCAACGGTATCCTCTGATCCTTTGGATAGAACAGCAGACGCGACTCTTGCCGCTTTAAATATCCGACCGCTTTTCTCGAGTGTACTTTCTCTAATATACAAACGACGTGACCGGTCTTCTGTAATTCCCCATCGGTACAGTTGCGCCAAAGATGTTCGGGATTCACGCATGCCACAACTAAATCCCCTTCAAAAGCACGATTTCTACTCTGTGAACCAATGATCAGTAAGTCGCGCTCCTCATTATTCAACCTTAAATAAGCATATTTTTGAGCAAACGGATTTATACGGAGATTCCCTTTCACGTATTGTACGCCATTTGGCCTTTTTAAAATATTCATCATTTTCGGCACTGGTATATGATTTTCGAAAAATCTTGTAAATGTCTTTTTGCCTGCTTTATCTGTATTCTTTTTCCTTGCGTCGTTCCTTATTATTTCTTGGCTACAGTTCTCCTTCAGTACATTCCCTGTACTCGATTTAGTTTCCGCTTCCCCCCTATTCGAATTTTTCTTCGTTAATTTCGAGTGTCTTTCTTTGTTATCACGTTGAGCGTCGGCCTACACAGAAAAAATGACAACTGTTAATAAAACAATAAAGTATAACGGTATAATTAAATTTGTTGCATAATGCAGAAATAATAAATTCCTGTGTTACAGAACCTTTGTACATTTAAACAAGGATAATATTCTTCAGGCGATAACAGATAAGATTAGAAAAAGATTTACGTTATATAGGGTAACTGTCCCTATTAATGTGCCCTGAACCTATTAGTGTGCTTTTATATTTAAATAAGTCATAAAAGTAAACTGGTACAAATATATAGACAAAGTATTTTTTTTTATTAAGTTAAAGTATTAATTTTATAGAAAAAAAAATACTTTGTCTATTTATTTGTACCAGTTTATTTTTATGACTTATTTAAATATAAAAGCACATTAATAGGTACAGGGCACACTAATAGGGACAATTACCCTACGCATATATATCCAACCTGATTCGTAACAAAATTCTTCGTCTTGCATTCTTCTTTGCCGCCAGCTGACACCATCCTTGTGTCGCCTTTCTCTCTAAGAGAATTTTTACATTTCTGTGGGGTGGCGTTCCTCGCGTTCTCTTCTTCCAACGCTTTCGACCTCGAGACGACCTGAGACTCCTGAGAGGTGTTTGCAAGCTGCGTCGTGCCATCTTGCACATCCATGAGACTTGATGCGGCTTGCTCCTCGATTTTATCTGGTACATTCTCTTTGAATACATTCCCTGTACTCGATTTATTTTCCCCTTCCGCCTTACTTTTATTTTTCCTCGTTAATTTCGAGTGTCTTTTCTTGTTATCAGGCTGAGTGTTGGCCTGCACAGAAAAAAATTATTACTGTTAACAGAACGATAATGATAATTAAACTTTACATAATGCAGAAATAATAAATTCCTATGTTACAGAACATTTGTTCATTTAAACAAGGATAATATTCTTCAGGCGATAACAGATAAGATTAGAAAAAGATTTACATTATATACACATATATATATCCAACCTGATTTGTAACGAAATACTTCGCCCTGCATTCTTCTTTGTCGCTAGCTGACACCATCGTTGTGTCGCCTTTCCCTTTCTCTCTAGCAGAATTTTTACATCTCTGTGGGACAGCGTTCTTCGTGTTCTCCTCTTCCAACGCTTCCGAGACGACCTGGGACTCCTGAGGGATGTTCGCAAGCTTATCTTGCACATCCTGTGAGAGGCTCGACGCGGCTTGCTCGTCGGTTTTACCCGTCACGGTGCACCTTGCCTTCCTCCTTCTGAACTGGAGGCTCTTGGAGATCCTGAGGTCAGCTGCGAGCTGCCCAGTAAGCTCCGTCAGTTCGTCGTAACGGGAGTCGAACGTTTCGCCCGTCAAGGAGTGCAAGAGATTCGTCGCTCTCCGGACGCAGCGTTTCTGCTCATTTTTGTCCACGTTACCGTGATGCCTGCAGTGAGATTCATCCGGAGTCTTCTTCGCGGACTTCGTGGCTTTCGGATTCCTCAGCTTGCGCATGATTGCGACTGAACCTTGTGTGCTATCGGCGACGATGAGTGTATAAGCTCACAACCGTGTATATCTATCTTAACGCGGAACACAATCGCGGATTAAAAAAGAAAAAAAAAGATACAGATTACAAACGAACAGATCACAGATAGGAAGCTTGTGCTTTCTACGTATGTGTCAAGAGATAAAAGTGGCCCACCGCGAGTCCAACTGGGAATCTCCGACTGTGCCGAAAATTTCGCGAACGTCATGTGCCGCCTGTCGCCGGCCTCGGGTCACTTTGAAGGGGGTGGAAAACAAAAAAGGTAAATACACGGGCCGTTAGATTAGATCGGGATGAGCGGCAAAAATTTTGGTTAGGTCGAGCGGCCGAAACGAGCCGTGACGAGGGATTGGTGGGGGAATGAAATCGTTTAGCCGTCTACATGTATGTAGGTCCACGTGATTTAAGTCATGTCTAATGTCCCATGTCTAGTCCTACCGACCGACGTAAATAGACGTGATCATCTTGATTTAATCATGTTTACGAACCGAAAGAAAATTGTAGGTATGACAAAAGAAAAGTGACGGGAGACACGAAGGGAAGACGAAAGATTTTTTACTTTGTACTTAACATAATTTATAGAACGATGCTACAGACAAAAACACTGTCATAATATGTAGAACATTTAGGTTTATTTCAGTGGAAGATATTTTACCATTTTTATTAGTATACTGCTATTGCAATTAAATTGTTGCCCAAAACTGGCCCAATATTGTAATATATACTGTCGAAATCTTAACGAGTACCAAAATAATTAAGATTTATTGCTTGCTAAGCTAGTTATAGTACTAATAATGTGTTTATCGTTACTTTGCAGGTTATTTTGATACGCCGCAAATATCTAAACAATATACAAGCTATTATTATAAAAAAGAGCCTTTTGCGTTTGCCTGCAAAGGATTAATATATATATAATTATATCTTTGAATGTTGTGATTCTGAAAAATATATTTATTATATATTAATATATATATTTATTCATATATTTCTATTTACATACATATAGTAAATTAAAATATATATTAAAAAGATCAACATATATATTTGAAAGAATATCATTATATATTATACATACATACATAATTATTCATATTATTATAAAATATTGTTATAATGATAGGTAGAGTATTAATTATATAATAAAAAAATAAAAAAAGAATTAGTATAACGTGAAAAAAATTTATTTCACCACGAATTATTCAACATTGCAACAAGAATGTTCCTTTTTGCTTCAAAAGAATATATTTATGTCAACTATACAGATTATTCAATAAAAATTTCATAAGTTATTTAATAAAATGCTCGCATGGGGGTCAAGATAATCCCAAAAAATAAAAGAACTGCTATTTATGGTAAATTTCTTGAACATTGTCGACGCTACTCCGCTAGATCCTAGAGTATAAAAGTCATAGAAAAAAAAGATATTAAAAAAAGATATTAAAAGAGCTAATGTCGCAAAAAAAACGAAACGGAGATACATTCATCTTTTCATACGTCTGGTATCAGTTTGACCCCCACCCGAGTGTCCCGAGTATGTACTTATTGATTAACTGCCACTACTGTCAGATGCAGAGCACATCTGTTGTTGATGGCTCACGGCATCGATGGCGTCTCGCGATAACAGTATAGATTTCATTATCTCCTGTTTAATCAACTGAAGGGAGCACTGATGTGATGTTGGTTGTAACGTCAGCAAATCCAGCAGTTTTTTTCTCTTTTCTTCATGGCACCTGCTCGCTCAGCCGAGAGTCGATCCGGGCCAAACAGATCCAGCCACCAGATCCTCCAGCCGACTCGACGAGTGTCGCGGTCGACGAGAACGGAAACACGCTCTTGCATTATGCGGCATCCGTAGTGCAAGAGCGTGTTTCCGCTCCCGTCGGCCACATGTGAAAAAGCCACCGGCGCGGCGTCCAGAAAGAGGGTGCTGAGCTCGCGCTTGACCCTCCTCAGCGCGGCCACGCACTGGGTACAGCCGATATGGGCACGTGTACCGTCCTAGATGACATTGATTTCGTCACTGTTTATAGGTTTCTAATATATATTTAATATACATAATATATATACTTTATAAACAACTAATATTTTTCAAATGCGAACCATGATGTACTATCTTTAGTCTAGAGACAGTATAACGCCAATCGTGGCCGCATTTGTAAAATATTAGTGCGTTTTGAAACCTATAAAAAAGAAAGCGACGAAATCGATGTCATCTATGACTGTACCGTACTATTCTAAATTGCCACCGCCGGAAATGCACGCGCCCACATTCTCACAGAGTACGTAGTTCTTCCGGCTCTACGGCAATTCCCACGTGCAGCGTCTTCCGCACGACCTTGCTCTGCAGTGTAGGGCCACTTTGTGTCGGCAGTGGCACCGCCACGCCACCCTTTGATCTCCTCGTGGAGATCACGTGAGCTGCATCCGCCATGTTGACATTAAAATAAAATCCAGGACCGAATAGAGAGAGCATGTGTGCCTCATAAGTAACAAAACGGATAAATAAATACGGATCGTTCGACGCGAATGAAATCGATAAATTCCAATGTGCGAGTCGAATAAAGACACTTTTCAAGCACTTAACAAAATTATTTGTAGGAGTGACCTGCACTAAAGAGAAACCTCCGATATTTGACTGCTTATATAAATTGTCTGCACATGTGTATAACATACATACATCCCTGTCGTCATTTCATTGGATCCGCCCCAAAACAAAAGTTGCATGGCAACACTTGCGCAAGCAGGCATGCGTTTTTTTTTTCGCGGAGTGGCCGTACTGGTTATACTTGTGCGCCTCTACATGTATATTATTGCACTTATCAATACTTTTCTTCGATTAATATATAATTATATCACGAGAACAATTAAATTGATAGGCAGTCTTGTTTTACAACATAGATAAAATTAATCTTTTTTTGGGCAAAATATGTATAGCTCGTAATATGCAAAAGCAAAAATGAATAAAGAAAATCCAACAACGAGCAATATATATAATTATTAAAGGTTATTAAAGAGTAATTTTATTTGATGTGCGAATACAAAATTAATTAAACGATTAAACGTTTCGATTTCACAGTTCTCTTCAAAACATGTTATCGTTATTATAGTTCACAAATAAGTGAAATTAATTCGAATGATAGATTCATTAATTAATTCCAGTAAAAGCCAATATCGATTGGACTGCAGTATGTATCACACAATTATTGAATGTCGCCGTTACATAAAAGTTTATATAAAAGAGAATAAATAGAACGAAATAAAACATGATAAATAATAAAAAATAACAGGTATTAAAACGTCTAACTAAATCTAATTGTAATATGTTAGTTTTAAAAAATTGGAAAATAAATTAAATAATGCAGTAGTCAGTTGACAAAATTAATTTATATAATTATGAACGTTGCAAAAATTGAAAAATCATGTAAATTTATCACTGTCGATAATAAAATAGTAATTTGGACACGTAAAACGATCGTTTGTTATTCGATCTCGGTACAGCCAAAGTGGTTGATAATGTCATCGTTCTTCGTGACCCCCACTTGACAGTTACGAAAATTAGGCCGGCTCGTCGGTTGTTGAAATTTAAATGCAATATCTTTTTTATTTAACACAAATTTTACTAACAAATTTGTACATATAATTAAAAAAAAAACGTTTTCGGATCTTTATCAGCTATATGCTCGTGCCAAAAGATACCGGGACGATCGTATTATTTGCTAGCAGAAACAGAAAGGAACGAGGAATCTGACGAGAAACGGTTGAGAGATCTGAGAGAAACGGTTGAGGCAACTCTCTGGAGGAAGCGACATCGCCCGAATTGTGTAATTAAATCGTGTATTGAGGTTGCATTTGGCGTCGCGATTGCATGGAAGGACTCGAGAATGGCCGAGATAGATATTTTTGACAACGAGGAGCAACTGCCGCAGGACCTCGGCGACGATGTCGTTCAGGAGGTCCTCAAGACTGGCACCGACCTGCGCCAGTACTCCAGGCAGATTGAGAAGGAGCTCAAGGAGGTCGAGAACAAGTCGATTCAGGATTACATCAAGGAGAGCGAGAATATAGCCAGCCTGCACAATCAGATCGCCGCCTGCGACAATATCTTGGAGGTTAGGTTTAGGTTAGGAACTCGGATGCTGACGCACGTTTCGTACGAGACGATGTGTGATATTAGATCACAAAGTGACACCTCGTCGTCGGCGAAATGTTATTAAAGACTTGTCAGTTTGATAATTTATGGAGATTTATAACCGTTGAAGTTTTGAGAGAATTGACTGATAATATAATAATTTTGAGCTATTGTTATCCTGTTGTTTTATAAATGTGTACATATACAGGGTGATTCTTGCCCTCAATTGCGTATCCTGAAGTAAAATAAACATTACAAAAGTGAGGAAATTCACTAGAATATATTTTTATTTTATTGACCAATATTTAATGAATTTGCTCATTTTTGTAATTTTCACCTTGTTTCAAGATACACAATCCAACCTCCTTAACATGTAGGACTCACTTCACTGGTAGAGAGAGGAGATAGACGTATGCCCTATTTGGCTTTGTTTCTGTGTCATAGATATATTCCAGTAATATGAAGTTGTTTACCTTTAAGAAGTGCTCAAAATAAACCACCTTCGATCTGAATGCAAGCATGCATTCAGGCCTTGTCGCATATTTTCAGAGATATTGGGTGTTGACGAATTTATTAACAGCAATTTCTTGAGTGAACGATGTCCTAACAAATGAATAGGTCATGCAGAATCTATTGATGCCTGTGCATTTTCCTTGAATCCATTAGATTTTTATTTGCGGGATATTTGAAAACAATTGTAGACTGTCGCACATTTTTGAAGATACCAAGTGTTTATCAAATTTGTTGGCAGCTTTCTTGTATAGTATACAAGAAGGTGTGTCATCTGTCCACCACTACCAGTGAAGTGAGTCTTACATATATATGTTAGGAATCATCCTGTATTTATGATTCAATAATATTCGACTTTTATCTAAAATTACAATTTTATTATTGACATCTAGATTTGATTATCCATACGAATGAGAAAAGAATTTAATTTTGCAACAATATATATAATATTATTGTGTTATAAATATACATTTTTATTGATGAAACATCCATATTATTTACAATAATAAATTATAAATTGATATTGCATTGCGGGCTAAGATATTTATGTTGTAAAACTTATATTGAGATTGAGTCAATATTGATATTCTTCAATTGCCTCCAGTGTCGAAATATTCTTATTAATAATTATGAGAAATTACTTAAAAATTATTTTAGATCGATTGTCTTTGATAGTATCACTGGTATATGTATTAAATGCGCTGTTTGCACATTCTGTTTCCATAACTCGTCTGCAAAGTGCTTCCAATCGAGCAATGCTTTTTCAGAGAGAGACATTTATGTATAGACATTGCCTTTTATTTGCAGAAAATGGAGTCGATGCTGATGAACTTCCAGTCGGTTCTGGGAAATATCAGCTCCGAGATAGTTTCCTTGCAACGCAAGTCTGTTGCTATGAGCCAACAGCTGTCCAATAGACAAATAATACGAGGCCCACTTAGTCAATTTATTGAGGACATGACAGTGTCTGAGGCTCTGATTACGTAAGAAATAATTATCGGTGTTTTATAAGAGGATGTTGGAAAGATAAGTGTGTATACGTTAATTTTCTTGCAGTGGTATTATGGACTGTCCGGTGACTGAGAAGGAATTTTTGATCCAGCTGCAAACTCTTAACCATAAAATCAATTTTGTGAAGGAACAAAGTTTTAAGGAGGCCAAGTCCTGTCTAGACGTGAAGGATATATTAGAGAAGCTGAAGGTAAAGGCAATGACGAAGATCAGGACGTATTTGCTGGAGCAAATTTATAAATTTCGGAAGCCGATGAGTAATTATCAAGTGCCGCAGAACAACATGCTAAAGTACAAATTCTTCTTTGAGTTTGTTTTGGCAAACGAGAGAAACGTGGCTGAGGAAATCTGTGGAGAGTACATTGACACTATGAGCAAGATATATTATTCATATTTCAAGACCTACTCGTCGAATTTGATGAAATTACAGGTAAAGATGAAACAGAAAAATTAAATCTTGTTTTTTGAATAAGTTGAAAACGTCAAATTACGATACAACTGTTTTTACAAGTTTGAAGAGAGAGCGTCAAAGGATGATTTAATGGGAGTCGAAGACACGGTAGGCCGAGGCTTGTTTCATAAAACAACGTTAAAGCACAAGGGTACTGTCTTTTCCATAGACACAAGGGATCAGGTTTTGTCCTCTCAATTGGAAGCGTCTATAATTATCCCACACACTGCCCATATTGCCAAAACACGAGTAAATACGATATATATCAATAACTTACATAATTTATGTATCCTTCAAAGCACGTTTTCTAACATTTTATAATATTATAATATTACAGTATCACTACGAAGCTCTATTCAGAAGTGAACAGTATGCTGTGGCTGACAATGGCTGCAGAGAATATCTGTTTTTGATAGAATTTTTCAAGGTCCATAATGCACAGGCGTTAGACATTTTCAATCAGGTAAGAGATTAGCCATGTTTAATAGTTGGTTTGATAAAGTAGTATGTATTAAGTGATAATTGTAACAAGTTATCTTTTCTTCTTGGCAGATCATGGGAAAAACGTTAAACCTTATGACAAAGAACCTGCAGTCATATGTTGAGGATTGTTACGACACAATTGCTCTATTTCTCTGTCTAAATTTGGTTACGCGTTATCAGTTGCTATGTCACAAAAGGGCGGTACCAGCATTGGATAAATACTGGGAGACCTTAACAGCCACAATTTGGCCTAGGTAACTTGAACACGTTTAAAAATAATTACAATAATAATTATTACATTATTTTGCATCGTTACGTTTGTGTCACTGCAAAATTATATCTGCTTTTCAGATTTGAATTTGTATTTCAATTAAACATAAACAGCGTAAAGGAATGCGACCCATCGAAATTCAACAAAGAGACTGGACCACATTATGTAAGTGTTTAAATGAAACGGATCGTTTATGCAGTCGATTATCATATAACATCGTGATATGCAATACTGTTATTCTCTTACGCAATTATGAACTTTTTAGATTACCAGAAGATACGCGGAATTTAGCGCCGCAATTATAAGTATAGTCGAGGGATTTCCCTGCGAGGGGACAACTCAGTTATTGGCAGAATTGCGAGAAACTGTACAGTGCTTCCTGTTAAGAATGGCATCTATTTTCCCGAGCCGGACGCAGCAATTAGTATTTCTTATCAATAATTATGATCTGATACTCAGGGTATTAATGGTAGGTAGATTTTACTTAACGTAGCAAAGTCCATCCAAAGTTAATGCACAAGAAAGAATTAAAACGTGCTATGTACGACCGCAGGAAAGGACGCGAGAGACTTCGAAGGAGGCGGAGAGCTTCCGGGAGCTGCTGAACGCGCGTTCTTCCGAATTTATCGAGGAAGTCTTGAGCCCGCACTTCGGCAGTATAATCCAGTTGGTGAAGGAATCGGAGGCGCTGAGCGAGAAGGGCCAGGCCGACGATTTGAAACGGCAGGAGGGCAAGATGCTGACCCTAGTGCAATCTTTCACGAACAATTGGAAGCGTGCGTTAGAGGAGATAAACCGAGAGGTGTTACGGTCGTTTCCCAACTTGGTGCTCGGCAGCACGCTCGTGCAAGGCGCAATGACGCAGTTGGTGCAGTATTACAATCGCCTCCACAAGATCCTGCCGACGAACGCGCGCACGCAACTTACGAACATCCATCACATAATGGTGGAGGTTAAGAAGTACAAAACGAATTATTAGACAACTTTCTGGAGGGAGACTGATTATCCAAATATCTAAACAGCGATCGATTATTGGCTACTATTAAAAAGAATTATCTTTTAATATTGTACATAGCCGTCAACTGTTGCAGCGATTTCAAATTCTAGCGATTACGATATTATTTATTAAATAAAGGTGTAGATTTTGTTTTAATATTAAGTATATCGTGTAGGAATATCGGGGAACAATCTTGTAAATATAATCGCAAAGATACATTCTGTACATTTTTATTTATAAAAAAGATATGAGCTATATGGGAGCTAAGCATGGTATTGCGTTGTACCATTCTATACAGTAGCAAATTAATAATTCCGTAACTCCTGTGCGCGAATGGCACGAGTGCACGAATCTCTGGTTTTTGTTTTTTTTTTGCTTATCTTATATAAATTAATATATGTATACACATGTACGCGCAAAATTAAAAGTGGTCTCGTTACTTTTTCCTCCGATTTCGCGATACCTATGGCATAACAATGTCAATTTGTCGATGACCGAACCTGAATCGGCTCACCGGATGCGGCGATCCGTTTACACTAATCACTTTGATATACGATTCGATTTAATTGCCACATATATACGTATTGCCGCAAACAAGTTTACATTCACTTGATACGTCAGGCTCTTTCGACTTTTCGAGAAATTATAAGATACAATTGCGTTTAATGATACGAATTATTTACGATTATCACCTGCATGATTGCAACTTGTGCATCTTAATCGTCAATTTGCATTTCATTTACGAACTGTCGTTTTTACAGAACACCGTCGATAGCGTGCAACACGCCGTTCGTCGCTGGCACATTATGCGTTACAACGTGTGCCTCGTTCACTCGTACTCGTCCTGAAACAACAGATGTACGCTGAATCGTCTGAGAGATTATTATTCGATTTATCTGTTTATATAAGTAACGCGATGCATTTCTTATTGGCCATTAAAACACGATTATTGCAACACATTTGAATTGCTTACCGCCGTTTTTGTGGATATGAACCGGCGACTGTGGACGAAGGGTGTCCTTTTGAATGTAATATCTCATTCCGGCCGTGTAAAGAGTCGTGGGAATCACGTGCCGCGAGATTATCGCCTTCGCCGCTTCCGGCCCGTCCTCATCGGTCCAAATTGGGGCGCCGTTCTTTGTGGACGCATCGGTGAAAGCGGAATCGGTCGGTGCGAAGATGGTGAACGTCTTCGGTCCTGTAGAAAGGCAGCTTTCGTTAAGATACTATAAAAGAGGATTCAGGATAATCCGGTCGAGTTTGCAAATCAGGAATACAGGAAAGGTGCGTATAACAAGACTTCTCGGACGCAAATCGAATCTTTTTAAATCAATTCTCTCGCTCGGCTTTTCAATTCACCTGTGAGCGTGTCCTCCAAGCCCGACACGTGCAGCATTTTGAGGAACGTGGTGAATCTCCTCTCGCGATCGGCTTGCAGGGTTTGCACCAAATCACCGACCGGCAGCGGGAACATGACCCTGTCGACGGCGTGGGCGATACCTTGGGGAATCTCGATGTCCCGTTTGTTGGGCGCGACACGCGCCCCGTTTATCGCCGTTATCTATATTTGCAAACAATGCAAAAATTACAAACGAAGAGAAACGATCGCGCGAATACAGAATCGTCTTCGTCGGATCTGTCCCGAATTGTCTGGGGGGGCATATTAAGTGGACGTGTCCCAGAGAACATTACGACACCTTGATACTTCAAGACACCGTAAGAGTTTGATAAGTTTATAAGAGTCCTTGAAATTTTAAATTTCTCTCTTAGATAATAGTAGTCATAGAAGACACTTGTCGAATGCCTTTTTTTTTAAGACATCTTCAAAATTTTATCGAAAGGTATCTTTAAATTATTATATACAGAATTATTATATACATATACTTTTTTAATAAGAGTCCGTGAAATTTTAAATTTCTCTCTTAGACAGTAGTCTTAAAAATATTATATACAGAATACATTTTTTTATAAGTTTATAAGAGTCCGTGAAATTTTAAATTTATCTCTTAGACAGTAGTCTTAAAAATATTATATACAGAATACATACTTTTTTTTACAGGTGTATAAGAGTCCGTGAAATTTTAAATTTCTCTCTTATTGTTAGACTACTATCTAAGAGAGATTTAAAATTTCACGGACTCTTATAAATTTATAAAAAAAGTATTCTGCATAACATTTTTAAGCTATTTTTTGATAACATTTTGAAGACGTCTTAAAAAAAGGCATCCGACAAGCGTCTTTTCGACACGCGTGTTATTTGGGATCTTTCGTGAGAAGCCGGATGACGAAGTCGTCGCTTGAGGCATGTTCATCGAGTGAATGGAAGATTTCTATAGTATATCCGCGAAGGTCAATAAACTGGATCGCACACGCGCGAACACACACGAACCATATCACTGATCGCATTATGAAAATAATTATCACATTGACTCACAAGCTATTAATAATTTACAGGCAAACGAACGATGTTGTCAATTAAACAAAGAAAAAACTTAAGATCTTAAAAAAAGAATCAAATTTTAATTAAAATACGGAAACGTAAAATAAAAGGACGCGAAAGATGTGAGAATTGGATATTTTTCTAAAATATAAAATTACTTTTACATCGTTCCATTCGTGATCCTGCATCGCGTACTCGTTCACCCGTAATTGCGTTCCCGCGAGGCTGACGCCGGTCATCTCGTCCTGCAGGGTATCGATCCTGAAGGCCCCCGGTATGACGTGATGGAGAAGAAGCTGTCGCACAAAAAAGTCTCAGATAGAATATCCTTTACCTCGCCTGACATCAACGATCTTAACTGGAGAACACTTGTCGTTTTATTCTATTAAGCTCACAACAGTTAATTTCAAGATTAAATTTAATTGAGTCCTCATACTTCTTTTCTAGAAAAAAGCGGCCAGCGATCAGTTTAATTACGGTTAGCTAACTGGTGTCAGTGAAATTTACCGCTAGGCAGATAAATTATTAATGACGCTTTTAGCACCGACGCGTACCCCACTTAGAAGCCTCGGATTGTCGCGGAACTTCTGCTCGGCTTTCTCTGGGCCTCCCAGCTGCACCAGCAACGTCCTGAAGGCTTTGTCCGTAGGGACGAATATGGTGTATGGACCTGCAGAAGAGTACAATGTCACGGAACAATATAGGGAACCGTCTCAAAATTAATCGAATATCAAATGATTGTTACAAAAATCTTCGTGCCAATTTGGATTTGACCTTTCCTCGAGCAAAAATTTGAGGCGCAATTCTAGCTGATTGATTAATGATCGAAAATGAGGGCCCTTCAGCAAACTAAATTTCAGAATCGGTGACAGATGTTCATTTCTATCAACGTGTAGATTAATTTTAATCTCGGTTTAACTTAGTATTTATTCTCTTCTAAGATTTAGAAAAAGATAAAGAGTAAATTAAACTGAGATTAAAGTGTTAATATTTACAATAGTAGAAATGGGCCAGGGTCATATATTCCGCGATTAACGTCAACTGGACTTTACTTGAACAGGGACTCGATTCAATTGTTAAGATATGACGTTAGGGCTTAGAAAGAAACCTTTCACGTCGCCTCGTTGCATTAATTTGTACCAGTCTTATGATACGTTATTCGAGAACGTCAAGAGATACACGATCTTTGCTGTGTATGCTTCACACACAGCTTTCAGCGATCGGCATCCATAATTACGCTTCACATTCAATTCGCCAGACATTCTCTCCCGTTCCGGGCTTAAAGAAAAAAAAAAAAAACGCGTATGAGTTCTAAATGAGTTCATCTATAATCCTCGTCGAAGGAAAAACATACATATAGATATTGGAGAACGTGACGAGAAGTTGCACAATGTCCCGATGGATAATTGCGTTCGCGATCGACAGAAACGGAACTGCTACCGGGGCGGGGTCGGAAGG